GACAAAAAACATTCTAACATTGGATTTGCTAGTTGTGAACTCCAAGACTCCAAATGGACTGGAAATCACTTAACTGTATACTTTAAATGGGTGAAGTGTATGATTAGTTGATTACATTTCAATACAACTTATTTTTTTAATAAGTCTTTCTATACCTGATCATCTAGAAAAGTATACCATCTCAGCGCCCCCAAGCCCCATGGCCAGCAGGCCCTAAACGGTAGCCCTGAGTTGACCAGGGACAGGCAAGAAGACCCACCCTCTGGGCAGAGTTCCTTCCAAAGGGCTCCACATGGGAAGAACCGAGCCTGGATTCTGGATAACAAGAACAAAGAGAAGAGTGCAAAGTCCAGACGTGAGCACTCTCAGACCACGGTGGGCGCTGGGGCAGGAGGGCTTGGATCCCGGGGATTCCAGAGAGCCTGGAAGCGGCCATTTATCGCCTCCGAATAGCACAAGCTAGCTCCTGGCCCTCTCCATCTCCTCCCCTGGTAATTAGAAGAAACCATGTGTGTGCCTCCAAGCACATCTTGCCTGATTACACGGCGTGTAGAATTTAAGTGAACAATAAATAATGCCCCAGAGTCCAAGGAGAGGGCATCAATCTTTGTCTTTAAAGAGCACTTCAATAATTCCCTCCATACTGGGGGCACCGGAATGAAAGGGGCTGCCTTTGAACCGGGAATAATCCATCTAATTCCAAGTGGCTGGATTAGAGGCATTCCTGAGCAAAGCAGGGTCTAGGCGGCAGATTACGCTGCAGGAATGTCAATTTCTGACAAAAGGCAGGAGACTCTGGGGTGGCTTTCCAAATGGACAAGCGCGGGGTGGAGGCACCTTGGAAAAGTTCACCCTGGATGCGGTGGCAGTTGGTTGGACACGGGGTGGGGGGGAAGCTGCCTGACAGCTGAGCATTCTCCCTTCACATCTCGGAGGAACGCACCCTCTCCAAACCTTACACTTCATCAGACAAAAAGCTCCGCCCGCAGCGGCGGCTGGAGCGGGGCTGTCCACACCCACTCTCCCAGAGCTTTCCAGAGCTGCCCACTCATTCTGGAAGCTGAGCTTTGCATCAGACAGCACCTCCCCGGATCTGTGGAGGCAAACTGGGGCTGGGCCCGCGCCAAGGAGAAGCTCCCTAAGTACACACGGTGGGGGGACGCCACCCACCACCCCCAATTCCCACCTCCAGCCTGCCTGCGGCGGGTTGGATTTCCTTCGGATGAGTAAGGCGGAGGAGGGGGTCTGCTCGATCTCTATGCACCAGAAAATCCACATCGGGGTTCAGTCCCACCCTCTGCAGGAAAAATCCAGGGTGTTGTTCCCCGCCCCCAACATACACACGCGCACGTACACACACAATCTCCACAATCCTGCCAGAGAAAACCAGGAGTGTGCGCT